CTGTCTCAGAAACTACAGACAACGGAACGTCTGAGTCCAAAGGACCTCTGAGGTTTAATGTTCCCACCACTGCTGTTTGCAGACGCTCTCGCAGACTTGCAGAAGCTACTGCTGTCGCCTCACAGCTGTCCACACGCAGGCAAGTGAGTACATGTTAACAGCACCGTATACCTCAGCGTAGCGACCACATTGTCTTTCCTAGTCACCAAAGCTAAAAATTTAATTGCTGTTACTTGCTTTATCCTGCAAGGAATTAATCACAGTCCTCTAGAAGAGAAGGTGGCAAAAAATCCGTATCAGCTATCTAGTAGTATCAGTACTTAGCTGAAAGCACATATAGTATAGCATCTTCTTTGACTTTTGTTAATTTACATACTTTTTCTTAAATATGGCCAGAGTATTATGTCATGCAACTAAAAGATAAGACTGCTCTTAACTGTTATCCTAACGAGCTAGAAAGTACACTTGGAATTTGCACTAATTTTATAGACAGTTACTGTATATAAAGAATAAGAGCCGTTTTAGAATTCAAATGTTATCGTTTTGCCTGCAAGTTTTACAGGCTTAAATGCAAGTTCTTGTTCAGATTAGCCCACCTGCTAACAAATCTTTTATGAGTGTTTCACGGCTAAGAATCCGTCACATGCAGAGTCACTGAATGTGCAACAAGTTCTCTTAGCAACTAATTTTGAATACTACTACTTAAATGCACAATTTTGATCTTTATAATAAAGCATCCAATTTCATTTTGCTTTATCTGATGTTCAGTATTCACTAAGAATTAACGTAATAAAAAAGAATTGTACTCGGCAGTCTCATTCACATAAAAATATACAAGCAACAACATCGTAAAATTAAAAAATTGCCTTTATGAGGCCTCAGATTACTTTGTAGACACTGCCAAAATACAAAAGGAGAGTAAATTTAGAGAAATAGTAAAATGTGGTGCATTTCAAGGTGAAAACCAAGATACAAGTACTTTTTAAGCTTTATATAAAAACTGAACTTGACAAAATCACGACGGACTCAATAATACCGAGTTTAAGGAACACCCACTAAAAACGAAAGCTACTGGGATAACGCAGATTTGCAACATAACATGATAACAAGAGAGTCGCTACAGGGAAGTCACTACCAGATGCGCTCTTCATTCAGCTCTGACGTCCCTTACAGCAACAAAAAGCAAAAGGAAGGCCAACAGGCTTTCTCACTGTCACGGGCTGACGAGGGAGTACGTATTAAGGGTGACAAGAAGGTGTCAGGCGCTTGACTTGCACCTCCGACGCGCACAGCCGCAGCAGTCCAAAGCTGCACCCGCGGGACGTCGCCGCTGGCGGCACGTGAGCACAGAACGTCACCAGCCTGGGGAAGGAACGGCGTGCGGAGCGGCTGCCGTCCCTGTCACGGAGGAGCCCGCTCTGTGTAACAGAGCCGCTAAGAATAAGCGGTTTAACAACTAAGTGGGCTTAACAGACGTAACTTCCTGCCGCAAAACAAAAATCTCTTTGCAGTAATTAACGTGAAGATAACGGAAGGAGATACGAAATCATCCAGAGTTCTAGAGCTCGCGGGTAACCCCCGAGAAGGAGAAGAGGTAACTGAACCAACCGAGAAGGGAGGGCCCCAGCAACCGAGCGTTAGCGAAC